TAACGGCGTCATTGTTTCGCGCCATAAGAAAAGGTAAAGGCTATTAGCGGCGTGGCACGCGAAGAAGACTCGAGATAGGATTTCCTTTTTAGCCCGTGTCGCTTTATTTAACGACGTAATTATACTGCATGTCGGCAAATGAATGTATTTAATGAAATTTCGCGCTATTATCGAGAACCTAACGCTTACCCGATGATTTATCCGATGTCAACGCGAACGAGGATTACGTATGCGAATGCGGTACAAAACATTGGCATTTTTATATATTTAATGATATTTCAATAAGTACGGCGGCGTAAATAATAATTATTAGCGCAAAAAAAAGAGGACGTGTATATAAAATAATTGGAGAACATTTATATGCAAGATAGTATATAATTACGTTCACAAGAGATATTTATTTATAAACTGCAAATCTTATTTAAAAAATTTTTTTTTATTTTTTCGCGTTAACATCTTAAAATACATATCATTAGAATATATTTAATTTTTTGTTCTGTATGTTCGTTTCATAAACAACTGTCTTTTCAACAGATAACAGATAACAAATCTTACTTGAAATTTTTTTTATTTTTTCGCGTTACTATCTTAAAATACATTTAATTTTTGCTCTGCATGTTTCTTTCATAAACAAATGTCTTCTCAACAGATGACGTCACTATAATTAACAGACTGGAACTTTATTCGCCCATTATAACGAGCTTTGATCGCGATATATTTTTAATTCTTATTTTGCATTCCCAGCTATCTATAATAACGATATTCTGTTCACAAGAGATATTTATTTATAAACTGCAAATCTTACTTGAAATTTTTTTATTTTTCGCGTTACTATCTTAAAATACATTTAATTTTTTGCTCTACATGTTCCTTTCATAAACAAATGTCTTTTCAACAAATAACGTCACTATAATTAGCAGACTGGAACTTTATTCGCTCATTATAACGAGCTTTGATCGCGATATATTTTCAATTCTTATTTTGCATTCTCGGCTATCTATAATAACGATATTCTGTTCACAAGAGATATTTATTTATAAATATCTTACTTAAAATCTTGTTACTTAAAAACTTACTGCAAATCTTACTTAAAATTTTTCATTTTTACTCGTCACTATTTTAAAATACATATAATTTTTGCTCTGCATGTTCCTTTCATAAACAAATGTCTTCTCAACAGATAACGTCACTATAATTAGCAGATTGGAACGTTATTCACCTATTATAACGAGCTTTGTTCGCGATATATTTTTAACACTGAACGTATATAAATTTTCTCACGTAATCCTGAACAACGCAAGTTCGATTTCGGAGCTCCAAGTCGCAAAGTCACCTCCCTCCCGCGTCGACAGGAAATGCAGGAAACGTTTTCCAATTTCCACGTTTCATCGTCGGGGACAAGTCCGGGAAGGGGGCAGCCGATCGATCGGCGGTGCAGTAGCTGCACCGCGCCACCGCTTCGTCTCACCATCTTCAACTGTCACGTTTCGAACGATAACTCTTTCCCTTCCGAAAAAAAATATTTCACGCGCTCGCCGCGAGAAAGAAGCTATATAATAGATTAAATTATCAAATGTCATTTCTGCGCGTTTTCCTCCGCGCGAATCCGCGAAAGTAGTAATAAACGGCTTCTCGATAATCGCGGTGATCAACGTATACGTGTTCTTCATCGGTATTGCTCGCGTCACAGAAACGAGAACGACGTCACGGCCACGTCCTCTGCTCTCTTTCGTCTTCCTTCTTTCCCGGTCCTCTCCCTCCTCCGCCATCCTCGTCCATTAATTAACAGGCTTTGTACTTTTAAACGATGTTAAATAAACGGCATTGTCCGCCGGCGAAAGGACTGAAAAGCGGGTGCCATTGTGCTTTAAGCTCGCTCCTCATCGTCCTCGTCGTTGTCGCCGTCGTCGTCGTCGTCAACCCCAGAAAGAAGGAAAGAGAGAACGAAGGAGTATTGCCCGCGAACGCCAACTTACTAATACCATCAGTACCTGGAAGCCTTTGTTCTAAACAAATACGTCGAAACCCGCCGCCACCCCCGACTACCCTCCTCTCGCCATTTCCCTCTCTTGTTCGACCGTGCCACCTGCCTTTCAGACGGGAAAACGTGTATCGATTGGATAAGCCGTAATATAAATGGAGAGCACACAGAGCTACCCCTTTCGCGCGACCGGAAGTCGCCTCGGCTTTTTGATTCCGAGGGCAAATTCACGCGGTTTGTGACTTGTCAATTTAAACCACTATTTTTCAAACCACGGAAACTCTCAAGAATATTTTTATGCGAAGCATAAAAGAGCAATTTTATTTTTTATTTCATCCCCCAAAAGGTTTTAGCCTTTTGAAATAAATGAATGGATATAAAAATATTTCTTAAGAATGAGGCGAGGTTAAAGAATAAGTTGTATTCACATACACAGAACTTTTTTTACTGGATTTAATTAAAATGAGGAAATATTGAGTCCGACGCAAAATGCAGGATACATTTTTAGGATTAATTAAGTCGAGAAATTGTATTTATCGAGAACAGTTTCGCGTTATCAGCCTGCTATTGTCTCGGAAGACACGATTCTCGAACTCATTCAATGCTTGCCGATACCTTTTCTTTGGGGTTCATTGTGAGCTACCACGTATCCGTATTGTCCAATAGTGCTGTTGTTGCTGCTGGTAACAACAACGGGAGAAACAAGGGGTCTCTCTGTAGGGTTCATTGCGAATTCCCGGCTTCCGGCGTTCTTATCAGCTTTTATCGTGGGATCTAAATCCTCTTCTCTTCTCTCTATTATTCTTTTCTTTTCTTTTTAATTATAGAGTAATTCTCTAATAAAAAATAACATTGACTAATAAATTACCTAATAAATTTAAAAAACTATATTCGAATTTTTATTTAGATCATTTAAATGTTTTTAAAAAATTTCGATTACATTTACAGTATCCTCCATAAGTTTGGAAATTACATTTTACATTTTACAGTTAAACAATCGTATGGCAGCGATCTGTGTAGATTTTTTGTATCGATAAATCGTAAACTATTTAAATAACATTTTTAATTATAACAGGGTACTAAGTATCTTTGTTTCTCTTTCCTTATGTGAAAAATTTTTTTGAACGGAATTTCATGTTACTGACCGCTCGGAATATTATATTGTGTTTTCTCGCTTTTCCTTTTCCCAGCGATTTTTCCCAGCCCCCAGCTGTGCTATAATCCCGGTCAAGCCATATAAAAGAAGAAGAAAGACTCGGAAGCTATTAAAGCCCTTGGGTGAAGGATACGAAAAAAGTTCTTTTCGTCGACTTTGCGACCTTTATACTAAACAAATTTCAGGTCAAATAGTCAAATTGAGCCATCTCGCGTTTATTCAACAAAAGGAAATGTCATATATATAAAATCCCTATTTCGAAAATAATTGATAGGTATCCATGTTGCAAAATTTACTTTCTTCTTTCTACGCGGAGAGAATTTTCTCTTAAAATTTACCCTAAAAATTATAATATAATCATGGACAATATATAAAAAATATGAATATGTACATAATAAATTTGTACACAGTAATTCATCGAACATATTTCATATTTTATTGTGATAAATATTAATCAAAGAAATTCTTATAAAATTCTTCCAATATCATATTGCCCATGATTACCATCATTTTCAGGATAAATTCTAAGAGAAGAAAATTCTCTCTGTGTAGAATAAAGCTCAATCCAAAAATCAAATTAGATCGCGAGAGAGGTGGGAAAAAGGAAAGGGTAGCGTATTCAGTCTTTGTCTTTTGAGATCTTTTTGCGACACATCCTCGCTACACCGAAATCTCAACGAAATCAATCTCCGGTGAACGCGAGCTTCGCGACGTCGCGACGCCGACGTCTCGCTGCGGCGGCCATTGTTGGCGGCGTCGCGGTGCAAACCCCGGGGGCGCATTGTGCCCCTCGGCGTCGGGGGTTCGGTGTGTGTCGCGTACCTAGCAGCAGGTTCCGTTTCCAGAATACCGGGGCTTCGCGCTTTGTGCGCGCCTCGGCGGCCGCCGACAACAAGTGGTAATTAATTCTGCGCAAAACAATCAGAGCCCGCTAACTGGGGTGGGAGGTATAGGGACGACGAAGGGGTTAAAAACGACTCCCGCCCAATGAGTCCCTCCACAGAATCCCTCCGAGAGCGTTTAAACGTGAATCGGAAAGCCACAACGCGTATATGACAATTAATCGTATAGTTTTTAATTTAGATTTGGATTACTTGTATCGTGCATATAAAATTTGTGTTTTCTTGGTAAAAATGGTCCTCGTGAAATTTTTGTGTTAAATATTTAACACATCGTGTGTTAATTTGATATATTACTGTTCTGTTAATTGAACTTAAATGTGTTAAATTATTAAAACAACTGAAAAAAATTTTACACAATAAATATGTTTTGGTTTATTAATGACAAGATTTATCTGATAAAATTTACAGAAAGAAATGTTGACACAATATTTGTTCCTCCATTTAATATATCCATATTATGTTAAATTAACACACAAATTTCTGTGGCCCGTTTGGAACATGTAATATCTGTTAAATTTAACAGAAATTTTTCAACCGAGTACGCGAGGCGTCCTAATCATCATTTTTTACGTCTTACATCTTTTTGTTAAACGCGGCTTAATGTTTCATCAGCTGATGAATAACTGCAAATAATATAACAGGAAATACAAAGTATTAATGTTCAGCAGGCGATGTATCATCATGCATGATGAGATCTCATGATTTCGCGTTCTTATGAATATTTACGAATCCAATTATCGGAATCGACGGTCAAATATTTATACTTTGGAACAAGCGTTTAATCGCTATTTGATTACTAAATAATTGTGGGAAAGCACATTGTATTATGGATTGGAATTATTCAATCGATTAATATGCAGGAATATGAGAATTTAAAATTATATTTACAAAATGATTAATCTTTCAGCTGATACACACTCGCGCTTATATTTTATTCATCGTAACGTGAAAATTGTTGCAGGTGCGGAATGGAAGCTCCTCACGGAGGATGAAAAACGCCCGTTCATCGACCAGGCCAAAAGGTTACGCGCCCAACACATGAAGGAGCACCCCGACTACAAATACAGACCGCGAAGGAAACCCAAGACCCTGCGGAAAGAAGGCTATCCTTACAGTATTCCGTATCCAAGTGTTCCCATGGACGCTCTTCGAGCCGGTAAGTAGATGATTAATTTTATGTATCATAAATAACATTATTGTAGCTAACTTGAAATCTCCATAAGAAATCCTTTTTCTTTTTAATCTATTAACATTCCATTACACAGAATAATATTTTTATATACCAACATTAACCATATAAAATTCATCTTGTCTCGTTGATAAATATTTACCGCTTCTAAACTGTGTGAAAAAAAATCCTTTTCGACAATTTTGACGGGGATCACCTCGTTGCACCGCAATGCAACGAAGTGGCGCGTGGAAATGTTGTTGCAAATTTTGCAGCTCACACACAGTTGCGTAAACACTCGTGCCGAACACTTGCGACTACGCGCTGACGTCACGTCTGGTTAGTTTATTGTGACAATTGAGCGAGCGTAATGGAACCGAGTTCGCGCATGCAAAAGCGCGTAGAAGAACACAGAAAATGCGCGGTGTGCTACCAATTTGTTTAATTAACGCGCGACGGAAACGCGAATGCATTATGCGCGATGAACGCGGCGCGATTTGTAATTTAATTATTGCAATCTTTCTTTGACAAGCGATACAACAAAGGTGACGCGTTGTCTGCATTACAGTGGAGTAATACGTGTATATTTTTCGTGTAAACAAAACTCGCCTCTCTCTGCTCTCATCCACTTATTTATTTGTCACCGAAAGTGTATGGATAATTGCATTGTTAAAAGTAACGAGTGTAAACAAGATATTTATACGAATATCGCAATTCGTTTTTCGAAGCGCAGATTATTGTTCGATCAATTTGTAGTTGGATCGTATATACTATATTGTAATTATTTAAAATAGTACACCGTGGTGCTGATATTAATTAATCGTTACCGTCACCGTTGATTTATCTCTCAAATTATATAACTTTATTACATTATCGCTTCAATTAACTACTTTAATTACGAATCGCTTTAATTACGAATTAAATCATACTCGTGCAATTAAAATCATTTCCATTTATAATTACTATTCCGACTTGAAATTGTCATTGCTTATATATAATATATACACATACACAGAGAGAATTTTCTCTTAGAATTTACCCTGAAAATCATGATAATCATGAGACAATATAGTATTGGAAGAATTTTATAAAAATTTCTCTGATTAATATTTACCATAAAAATAGTAATATCTACCACAATAAAATATAAAATTTACCATGTACATATTGAATATTTGTTATTGTAATATATATTAATCAAAGAAATTCTTATAAAATTCTTCCAATACCACATTATCCATGATTATCATGATTTTCAGAGTAAATTCTAAGAAAAAATTCTCTCCGTGTACATATACACATAGAGTATTTTACAAGATTCATATTTAAATTTAAAAACGCGTTTCTATAAATATTTTTTTTTTAGTACGTGTGGAGGTATCATAGCGGCTTTAAGGTACCATTTCATGTGCAACTTCCCGCCCAGTACTTTGTTGCTATTGGTGAAGTTCAATTGTATGAATAGCAAAGACAGCAAAAGAGAGAAACACAAAACTCTACACCATACACCATACATGTCAGACATTCAATTCTAATTTATTATTATTTATTATTATTATTTACAACTTATCGCATGTTACAACCATTATTCTTCTTTCTCTCTCTCTCTCTCTCTCCATCTCTTTCCAACACATCTTCCAGTTACTTGTCCTTCTCCTTTCACTTCCTTCTCGTCATCTCGTTCTCTCCAAAGTTCTCTCCTTCAAATTTCACCGCCATCTCCTTCTCTCCCAACTTTTCTCCTCTTCTCCCTCCTTCACAACTGAACCTGCCTCCCCTCCTTCATCACACCGTATCTTTCTTCCTCCTCTTTTTTTCGGCACGCATGCGAGGTGTTTTAGTTTGAACTGGATTTGAACCTGGGACCTTAGGCTTATCATCTTACGACTTTACCTACTGGTCTACCATTTTACCCATTATTATATTAGTTAGATGCATTTTAAGAATAAAATAGATTATAAATATGATGTTTTTTAAAACGGCCAACAGAGCCAAAGAGAAATTTTTCTCCATATGTAAATTTCGAGATTAATTTATATATGGAACTTAGTGATCTCAAACCAAGAGATACAGTTCCGAATAATTAATTTTTCGTGCTTTGGCTCTGTTGGCCTCGTTTTAAAAATCATATTTATAGTATTCTTAATATTGAGAGCCGATAAAAATATTTCTGTCTGAATAAAATAGATTATTACGAGAATATAAAAGCAAAAATTATAATTTAACCTTGAAATAATAAGAGAACAAAGAAATATGCTCTAATAAATTTTAATCATATGACTGATTTGGCACTTTTATTCTCTCTTGCTGCTAGTATATTTTTAACGTGAAAACGATAGCATTCGAATATTCATGTCAAATTATATATTACACGCCGATATTCACCTTGTAATTTATCGTCGTCATGTAAGTTCGTGCTCGTGAGTGTAGGCGAGAGTTTACAAATATCTTTCGAGAAATTATTAATTCCGGCAATGGTGATGTTGCGATTAAGGCCAGAATTTATCTCTTGACTCCCACGCGATCTCGCGAAAAGCGATCGGTAATCTCCGATTTATCAGACGTGGAGACTCTCCTACTTCCCATTTATATCTCCTCCCTGCATTTTTGATCTGCACCCTGCACATTTCTATTCAAGCTCAGGTCGAAATTCTTGCATTCGTTTAGATAATCTCGAACAGGAAACATACAAAATGATTCGCATTCTTTTAAAATACGAAGGAAAATAAAATACCAAATTTTACTGTGTCAAAGTGGCCGAAAAGAAGTCAAGTTTCTAAACCTTTTAAAATTTAAAGGTTTCTTACTATTTAAATTATCTTTAAATTTTATCTTCAACCATTAAATTTTAAAAGGTTTAGAAACTTGGCTTCTTTTCGGCCACTTTGACACAGTAAAATTTGATCTTTTTGCTATTATTTTTACTAAATGGACAATTTGACACGAAATGGTTCAAGCAAATTCTTCAGGCAAAAAATCCTTTTCGTTCTTTTATTTGTTTCAAAAATATTATATATATTTTTTTTCCAGATTCTCTTTCCTATGATATCTTTCCTGGCTCTGATTTTTTAAATCATGCTCGCTTTTTGACATACACGACTGCAAATATGTCGGGACAATATAGTGAGTGGATGGGAGAGATAAATTATCTGCCTGAATTTCTCGAGTACTCTCCGAGGCTGCTCATGTATTAAGGATAAAATAATAATTCTAACCACAATTGTGATACACTTATAACTTATCATAATCTCAAATTCACAAAAACAAATTAAATCTAAATGTAAACTTTTTTTCATTTTCTAATATATAGATTGGGTTTCAGCGATTCTATTAATATTGCTCACATATCATCTCCTATACATATCTATCTCTTGTTCTGTGCATGTTATGTTGTGCTACTATTTCATAACTAATATTTAAGTACCAACATTTCTATGGTGGTGATAAAAAATCCTGCTCTTTTCTAAATAGATGTAAGCGCTTGTATATCGAAAACATTAGCAAAGAAAAAACAAGTATTGACTTGTGACAAAGTGAACTTTTGTGAATAACATAATACCGTATACATTCCATTGAAAATTATAGACAAGTTGTAGACCAGAGATTGTAACTGCAAAAATTTTTTTAATTCCATTATACTTTGAAAAATTTTTATGGGACTATTCTTTTAATCAAATAATTAAATATGCAAATATGAATTTATATAGTTTTCAAAAAAATTAAATTATTAATACATTACATCACTTTTAAGTTAAACAAATATTGACTTGTCACAACAATATATGTATATTGATAATTAGTTTGCGAAAGGAAAATTATAAAGTACACAAGAAAAAGGTGGACACAAATCCCCTAAAATCCTTTGAATTTTCATTACAGACAGACTACACTACTGTGGGGTTGAAGGAGGGTGATTGTCCTTTTTTTTCAACTAGTGACGGATTTACGATCGTGGGGTTATCTGTATGAAGTCATGTGCTTTCACAATTAGTCCCTCGGGCGTGACTGCTGAGTCGCGTGGACTTTCGCATAATGCTTGCAGAAGCTTAAAACAATTCGATAAATAATGAGCCTGCGACATGTTTATATGCTCGCGTGCCTGCGTCCAATGAATCCACGAGCGAACACGATTCGCAAAGTACGGTCCTACAGCGCCGAAGGGAATTATTCGAGGATTTATTTCAGCGCACTCTCCCCGGTTTCTCTCTTCCGTTTTACTCACGCATGCTCCCGAGATATCAAGTCAATCTGCGACGATAAAGCATGCCCAAATTAAGAGAAACACAATTTTCTAAACTATATAATGCAGGAAAGGCTCGTAATATGTTTTAAGTTGCATCGAACTTTTTTACTCTTTTAAATTCTTCTACTGATTTCCACAATAATTTTTTCTCAACAATTTAAAATCAAACTAATACTATTTTTTTCTTTTTTTATCACACACAAAAGCATTATTTTCATAATTATTTTTAACATACTGAAAAATATGAAAAATAGAATATTATTTTATAAATATATAAGATCACACGCTCTAATTCTTCTACTGATTTCCACAATAATTTTTTCTCAACAATTTAAAATCAAACTAATACTATTTTTTTCTTTTTTTATCACACACAAAAGCATTATTTTCATAATTATTTTTAACATACTGAAAAATATGAAAAATAGAATATTATTTTATAAATATATAAGATCACACGCTCTAATTCTTCTACTGATTTCCACAATAATTTTTTCTCAACAATTTAAAATTAAACTAATACTATTTTTTTCTTTTTTTATCAAAAGCATTATTTTCAAAATTATTTTTAATATACTGAAAAATATGAAAAATAGAATGTTATTTTATAAATATATAAGATCACACACGCTCTGATTCTTCTACTGATTTCCACAATAATTTAAAATTAAACTAATACTATTTTTTTCTTTTTTTATCAACAGCATTATTTTCAAAATTATTTTTAACATACTGAAAAATAGAATGTTATTTTATAAATATATAAGATCACACACGCTCTGATTCTTCTACTGATTTCCACAATAATTTTTTCTCAACAATTTAAAATTAAACTAATACTATTTTTTTCTTTTTTTATCAAAAGCATTATTTTCAAAATTATTTTTAATATACTGAAAAATATGAAAAATAGAATGTTATTTTATAAATATATAAGATCACACACGCTCTGATTCTTCTACTGATTTCCACAATAATTTAAAATTAAACTAATACTATTTTTTTCTTTTTTTATCAACAGCATTATTTTCAAAATTATTTTTAACATACTGAAAAATAGAATGTTATTTTATAAATATATAAGATCACACACGTTCTGATTCTTCTATTGATTTCCACAATAATTTTTTCTCAACAATTTAAAATTAAACTAATACTATTTTTTTCTTTTTTTATCAAAAGCATTATTTTCAAAATTATTTTTAACATACTGAAAAATATGAAAAATAGAACGTTATTTTATAAATATATAAGATCACACACGCTCTGATTCTTCTACTGATTTTCACAATAATTTTTTCTCAACAATTTAAAATTAAACTAATACTATTTTTTTCTGTTTTTATCAAAAGCATTATTTTCAAAATTATTTTTAACATACTGAAAAATATGAAAAATAGAATGTTATTTTATAAATATATAAGATCACATACGCTCTGATTCTTCTACTGATTTTCACAATAATTTTTTCTCAACAATTTAAAATTAAACTAATACTATTTTTTCTGTTTTTATCAAAAGCATTATTTTCAAAATTATTTTCAACATACTGAAAAATATGAAAAATAGAATGTTATTTTATAAATATATAAGATCACACGCTCTAATTCTTCTACTGATTTCCACAATAATTTTTTCTCAACAATTTAAAATCAAACTAATACTATTTTTTTCTTTTTTTATCACACACAAAAGCATTTTCAAAATTATTTTTAACATACTGAAAAATATGAAAAATAGAATATTATTTTATAAATATATAAGATCACACGCTCTAATTCTTCTACTGATTTCCACAATAATTTTTTCTCAACACTTTAAAATTAAACTAATACTATTTTTTTCTTTTTTTATCAAAAGCATTATTTTCAAAATTATTTTTAACATACTGAAAAATATGAAAAATAGAATGTTATTTTATAAATATATAAGATCACACGCTCTGATTCTTCTACTGATTTCCACAATAATTTTTTCTCAACAATGTAAAATCAAACTAATACTATTTTTTTCTTTTTTTATCACACACAAAAGCATTATTTTCAAAATTATTTTTAACGTACTGAAAAATATGAAAAATAGAATGTTATTTTATAAATATATAAGATCACACACGCTCTGATTCTTCTACTGATTTTCACAATAATTTTTTCTCAACAATTTAAAATCAAACTAATACTATTTTTTTCTTTTTTTATCACACACAAAAGCATTATTTTCAAAATTATTTTTAACATACTGAAAAATATGAAAAATAGAATATTATTTTATAAATATATAAGATCACACGCTCTAATTCTTCTACTGATTTCCACAATAATTTTTTCTCAACACTTTAAAATTAAACTAATACTATTTTTTTCTTTTTTTATCAAAAGCATTATTTTCAAAATTATTTTTAACATACTGAAAAATATGAAAAATAGAATGTTATTTTATAAATATATAAGATCACACGCTCTGATTCTTCTACTGATTTCCACAATAATTTTTTCTCAACAATGTAAAATCAAACTAATACTATTTTTTTCTTTTTTTATCACACACAAAAGCATTATTTTCAAAATTATTTTTAACGTACTGAAAAATATGAAAAATAGAATGTTATTTTATAAATATATAAGATCACACACGCTCTGATTCTTCTACTGATTTTCACAATAATTTTTTCTCAACAATTTAAAATTAAACTAATACTATTTTTTCTGTTTTTATCAAAAGCATTATTTTCAAAATTATTTTCAACATACTGAAAAATATGAAAAATAGAATGTTATTTTATAAATATATAAGATCACACACGCTCTGATTCTTCTACTGATTTTCACAATAATTTTTTCTCAACAATTTAAAATTAAACTAATACTATTTTTTTCTTTTTTTATCAAAAGCATTATTTTCAAAATTATTTTTAACATACTGAAAAATATGAAAAATAGAATGTTATTTTATAAATATATAAGATCACACACGCTCTAATTCTTCTACTGATTTTCACAATAATTTTTTCTCAACAATTTAAAATTAAACTAATACTATTTTTTTCTTTTTTTATCAAAAGCATTATTTTCAAAATTATTTTCAACATACTGAAAAATATGAAAAATAGAATGTTATTTTATAAATATATAAGATCACACACGCTCTGATTCTTCTACTGATTTTCACAATAATTTTTTCTCAACAATTTAAAATTAAACTAATACTATTTTTTTCTGTTTTTATCAAAAGCATTATTTTCAAAATTATTTTTAACATACTGAAAAATAGAATGTTATTTTATAAATATATAAGATCACACGCTCTGAGTGAGAATGATACAAAGTTTCTTATCTATTTTTTTATTCATCGGTTTTACGAGTACGTGACAGACTAACGTAAACTATTCGCGAGTTTCGAAACACGAAGAACGAGATGCGCCGAACGGAGAAAACGACGTCGCACGGTAGAATCTTTTGTGTTTGCGTTTGAATTATTATGCGACGGGAGAATTGCAACAGACGGTCACGGCGCGCGTAAAATATTTAGACTTAGTAATCAGGTTGCGTCTCCCTCGCGCCTTCGTCCGGCATGGAAATTCAAAATTACGTAATTCAGTACGAAGTGCGAAACAATGAAGACAATAGCAACCCAGGAACGGCAAACAAATCTCTGTAAACCGAGGGGACTTCGCGCATACCAAGAGCCCGATTCATCGAACATCTGTTCTCGAATTTCTGTCAGCAAAAAAGATAAATCAAAATCGACAGACACCGTAAATAAACTCTACGCGTCCGATTAATGCCTGTAATTGAATCGAAAAGGCAAAAGGCTCGACACAAAAAATTCGATAATACATTTTAACGAAGCTGTCACGAAAACAGTTGCTTAACAGTTTCGAAACTATATAATCAACTGATATTTTCTTTTAAATCAATATAGAAAGCGCTAAAATATATATTATTCGGAACAAAATATATTTATATTATTATTATTATTTAAATTTATAAAAATAATTTATATATAAAAAATATATAGAATTTGATTATTTCTATTCAATTTCCGCGATCGATCTATCTGCAAATAATCGATTTAATAAGGCCTACTTTATAAAGTACGACGAATCGGCAAAGATCTTACGTGATTTTTTTCGCGTTCAGAATCAAGCATCATCTCGATCGTCAAAATACCCGTCTCGCCTTTGGCGAGATCTTCGGGCGTCATTGGCGATCATAAATCTCGAGGAACTCAACGCCAATCATCCTTCTTCGGTTTAGCTTTGCTGAAACGAAGCGAATGAGCAACACCTTCCAGTTGCTATCGTCCTCGTCAATGGGGCCTCGTCGAAGGTTTTGTCGATGATCGATAAGCCACCCAGTACGCGCTCTTTCATTTTTTTCTCTCTCTAAACGGACATGCAAAACGATAGAAAAAAAGTAAAAAAACAGAGACACTTAGATAAAAACCAAGACATCAATCTTTACCAAAAATGACTGATGATCATTAGTGGTCATTGTCGAAACCTAAAAGAAAACGCGATTCTTATCCCAGCAAAAGTAACTATTTGCTAAATCAACATCTCTCTATTTCTCACATTGTTTCCTGGTATTTCCGATTGAAGAAACCACAAATTGAAACATTCCGCATACGAATACATCAAGAACGCGGATATATTAATTTCCAACGCATCCTCTTCATATATAGTCGGTCATCCAAAAAGAAGACAACGTCAGACATTCATACGCGACCAACTTACAGACTAACTGTAAAACTATTTCTGTTCAGACATTCTATCGTGGCGCAAAACTCTCGTATCTGGGTTACGTTTTAATTATAAACAACCCCTCCATCCCCACAGACAAAGACTCACAGCACAAAATATAATTATTGTTATATTGTTGCTGTTGCATAAACTCAGTTTAGCCATAATTAAATACATCCCGTACGGACGAGACGCTAACGTAATATGCTAGTACACAAATGACCATCCTTTTTACAGAAAGAGTTGTTAACATTATATTATAGGGATGGCTGGTAGCATGGGTCAAGCCGGGATGGGCAGCTATTACGGCCCTGCGGCCGCTTACGGGTCTCTTTCCGCGGCCAGTATGGCTGCAGCTGCGGCAGCGGCAGCACAACAATCAGCAGCCATGTCTGGTCTCGCGGCACCTGCTCAGGTTAGTCGATAATTCTTTCATATGATATATGTACGTGTATAATACATATTGCGTCGTGTTATCAAACGAGAGACGAATTGATGGATATATTTAAACAATTAATGGTGACTATTCCGGAGGAGCCCAAACAGCTACTTCAGGAAGAAGAAGAAACATGGGAGAGATGTACTAATGAACAGTGATATACTAACGGGTCCATTTGTTTTGGCTACATTGGCTACACTAATTTAGAGAGAAGATATCTTTTTGGCTACATTGGCTACACTAATTTAGAAGGTATCTTTTTCTTTCCAACGTCGAGCAAAAAAGATAACTTCTGAACTAGTAAACTCTGAACAGATCTATTCACTAGTACATACATAATGCGATAACACGACGCAAATTACTAGTCATCAGCCTCTGTTGTTTGAACGACTTGTGATATGTCATGTGATGTGTTTTTTTATCAATTTTGTGGCAAAAAATATATGTACCTATATCTATATTACTTTTTACATAAACAGATATTTTAAACTAATTTATTGTTATTTCTACTTTAGCTCCAATATTGGCATTACCCCTGAGATACCCTTTACTAGGTTATTATAATTATATATGTTGTCCCATAATTCGCGAATCCCATAATTCATGAGCAGATATAGATTAAAATATCTAAACGAATAAGCAGATAAGAAAGCATTATCTGATCGAAAGGCGACGTCATGCAGCGAGCGGGGACCAATCTGTTCTAAAGACGTTCTATCTGCTCACGAAAGCTCATAAAATTCGCGAATTATGGGATACTTTATACATATAGGAAGTAAGTACATTTTAAGAGTTTAAGTACATTTTAATTTTAAAAAGCATTTTTATATAATTTTTTTATATAATGTTTTGAGAACACAATTGGTTTAGATAAAGACACAGATAATCTTTTGAGAACAAAGGCCGAACATTTCTTTTTATTTCAATATTATTTGATTAAAATTATTCTTAACGTAAATGTATCGGATTATATAAGATGTTCAAGCTTTTAAATTTTGTTATTCTTTTTTTTTAAACTAGCGTTGGCCCGCCGACATTTCGCAAAACCCCAAATTCAAATCCATGTACTTATTACACACTTACATTGAACACATCGGGTCCAATAAACAGATCCTCGATCGTGCAAAAGGAGAAGAAAAAAATGAGAGCTGAATCGCGGAAAAAGGAAAAAAAGGATGAAGAAAAATGAGGTAAAGATGGCGCCTTTCGACGAATTTATTATATGGGAGGAGAAAAGATAAGTAAATGAAAAGAACCGAGAAAGTGGATGAGAAGGAAGGATGAGAAAAGGAGAAGGAAAAGAAGAGAGAGGAGTATATAGGTAGGTACGTGTTTGAATCGTTGTCGCAACAAAGGGGCCCCCGGGTGGCTTCGCAAACAGAAACCGGAGACCGTGGTCTGTGTATGAATTTCCGCAGCTGGCTACGGGGAGACAAACAGATAGCTAGTTATTTCTGCATTCAGAAGCTGAATGGCCGACGCGTCTGGAACGACGCACCGACGCGATACAAGCGACCATTATTGGTTAACACCGACGGCGAGCGGCACGCTCGAAGAATTCCAACGTTATCTTCGTGCCCGGCCGAGTTCGAGTATCTCTTCCTCTCGTCGGCTCATCAACGCCGGAAGCGCAATCAGCATCGCAAAAGAATCCGATCCCGGAACGTCTTCAAAAATACCAAGTTTCGTTTAACTTTTATATATAATTAATTTAGAAACCAAAGTTTCCGAAAGAGAAATTTAAAGATAATTTGTTATAAAAATGTGCAAATTCTTTCCAAATTTAGTTGTTGATCACATTTTTTAAATCATCTTCAAATCAGAATTAATTTAATGATAAGAGTTGATTTTTCGTAAATTTTCTAAAAAAATGTTTATACGACTGACGATCGATGACATGATTCGTACACTTCATCACACGCTTTTATAAGCGGATCTCTTTCGGAAGCAGTGAGTTCTTACAAAATGTTGAAAAGTCTGAAATATCGAGGGCCACGGCACAATATGCGGCGATGCGAGGGAGTTGACTTTCTTGTTCTCTCTGTGCTCTCTCCCACCGCTTCGAGGCCATTTGGAAAATAAAGTGCGCTCATTCTCTTTCGTTCTCGACGACACATGGCGCGAAAGGAGAATGCCGCTCTTTTGTGAGCGAAAACAGAGGCGAACGGTATACGGTGTCATTGTCCTCTTTAGCAGCAACATCGCGTTGGATAATTAAGTCCTAGAACGACGACGTAGATGAAGACGGAATAAACTATCGCGATAATGACGAGGATAGGCATATCGTCATCCGAAAGTATAACGTTTACAGAGAAAAGAACATTTACAATGTCTGCGTGTAAATTGCGCAATAATGGTCTTAACAATTTTTTATTTATATAAAATTTATTATATTTTAAGTTTGAGAAAAAATTGGCTACGTTGAGGATGGATAATTATTGAACTGAATTTATGTAAATAGATCCGTAATTTAACACGCCTAAAAAAAATTTCTCTGATATAATCATATCAAATTTCAATATTTGGACACTGACGAAAAAAATTATTCTGGATTGCAAGTTATCTTTATCAATTTCTAAATCAGTATAATTCAAAATCAATATAAATTCGATCCTCAAATGAACGAAGCTCTAAGAAATTATCTCGCAAGCTACACATAACGATAATATGAAAATCATTGGCATTGTCGCGATCGAATGAATTTTAATACGAATATTTCAACGTCGCACGGTCAGAAGAAATTTTTTAATTTCCGGACACTGCTGCGATTCTCGCGAATCGCAGAGAAGGAAAAGGAAAGGGGGATTTCGAGGCGAGAGAAACCGAGCGCAGTAATCAATTGGTCGTAGCGGGCGGGAGAGACTTAGCATCGCTAAGACTGGATGTAAATCATCCGGACAAAGCCGCTTAACGATCCGACAAAGGATCCCGCACGGTCCTTCCTTCGTCCACGAATTATAGAATCGGCAATACGCACGCTATTCCTTCCCTTTCTTTCTTCCTTTCTCTCTATCACTCTTTATTTCTTGCTCTTTTCCTTCTTTTTTCAACACCAGTCATTTCTCGAGGCCAGTCGTTCCCTTCTCAACTCTTGGCAGTTCGGTCATCCAAACGTGCTTGGTCCAACGTGACAAAATTTATGACGTTTGGCAGAGTTGTCTTCGACATAGAACAAATTTCCGGACTGGATCGGATACACCGATTTCGTAATTTGCATGCACCGACCGAATCAACACCAGTCCAACATGACGAAATTTATGACATTTGGCAGAATTATCTTCGACATAGAACAAATTTCCGGACTGGATCGGATACACCGATTTCGTAATTTGCATGCACCGACCGAATCAACACCAGTCCAACGTGACGAAATTTATGACATTTGGCAGAATTGTCTTCGACATAGAACAAATTTCCGGACTGGATCGAATGCACCGATTTCGTAATTTACATGCACCGACCGAATCAACACCAGTCCAATGTGACGAAATTTATGACGTTTGGCAGAGTTGTCTTCGACATAGAACAAATTTCCGGACTGGATCGAATACACCGATTTCGCATGCACCGACCGAATCAACACTAGTCATTTCTTAAACCCAGTTATTTCATTTTTCAGCCCGCGACAGCTCGGTCATCCAAACGTGCTTGGTCCAGCGTGACGATATTTATGATGTTTGGCAGAGTTGTCTTAGTCCGCATCGTCCGGGTACACCGATTTTATAATTTGCATGCGCCAAATCGAATGCGTCGACTTTTGAAAAATCGGGGCAGATTTTTGTACTTTGAGTCCGGGTATGATATTAGAAGAACGTACATTGGAACGGGTAAAAAAAATAGGTGACAAATTCAAAAGTCGACGCATTCGTTCCCTGAACGTCATCGGGATATTTGTGCTGTCCTTGTTTTTTCAGCCCACGACAGCTCGGTCATCCAAACGTGCTTGGTCCAGCGTAACGATATTTATGATGTTTGGTAGAGTTGTCTTAGTCCGCATCGTCCGGGTACATCGATTTCATAATTTGCATGCGGTAAATCGAATGCGTCGACTTTTGAAAAATCGGGGCAGATTTTTGCACTTTGAGTCCGGGTATGATATTAGAAGAACGTACATTGGAACGGGTAAAAAAATACATGACAAATTCAAAAGTCGACGCATTCGTTCCCTGAACGTCATCGGGATATTTGTGCTGTCCTTCTCTTTTCAGCCCGCGACAGCTCGGTCATCCAAACGTGCTTGGTTCAGCGTGACGAAATTTGATGTTTGGCAGAGTTGTATAGACATAGAACAAATTTCCGGACTGGATCGCATCGTCCGGATACACCGATTTCATAATTTGCATGCGGTAAATCGAATGCGTCGACTTTTGAAAAATCGTGGCAGATTTTTGCACTTTGAGTCCGGGTATGATATTAGAAGAACGTACATTGGAACGGGTAAAAAAAATAGATGACAAATTCAAAAGTCGACGCATTCGTTTTCTGAACGTCATTGGGATATATGTGTTGTTAGGGCTATAACCCTATCATATTCGTTAGGCTATACGTTTCCCCTTGTTCTGTTTTAGGTCGTAAGTTCTATGGATGCTATGAAATATTCAATGGAAGCAGACAAGTATCGCGCCTATATGCCACCTAGCACTCTCGCGATGAGCATGTATCCAGATCCCAAATATCTGGATTCATCTAATCCCAAAACTTATTTGGATCGCACCTACTTGGATTCTGCGAAAGCATACTTCGAGCAATCCAAACTCTACATGGATCAGAAGCCGACCATCGCAGATTACAATCGATCCAGTTACGAACCCAACAAGCTCTACGAGGAATCCAGCCCGGGCAGCGTAGTCGGCATCCCGGCAAGATCACCGGCCCCGGATTCCCCAGACACGAGCAAGCAACACGAGAGAACGGAGCAGGGCTCGTCTAGCGCGAGCTCGACATCAACATCATCGGCCGCAAGTCCTGGAGCAACCTTATCCACTTACTATCCCGGACCTGTTCAAGCTGGCGGTCTACTAGGCCCACAAATGGGCCAATACGGCGGATATCAGACGGCACCGACACCGGGAAACGAGTCTTTTCGCCGGCCATTGACAGTCATCTTCTGACCCGACAGAGCGTAGCTCTGATCAATTCTCGACGAGCAGCTGCTATAATTCCTGACTCGCGATCGCTAACGCATTTCGCGAATTTAAGGCTGGGATAAGCAATCGCGGTTTCGCCGATTGAAAAAAAAAAAACATCATCTTCTGAAATCAAGATTTTGTGGAAATCAAGATCTTCAAGAAGAAAAGCTGCCACAGTTCTGGTCACCCTGCCGTTTAACGCAGATTTTATGGAACGAAAGTGATGAACGTTATGTGCTAGAGTTAGAGATTTATTAAACTTTACTGTCTTCTCTTGAAATAAGCTATTTCTTTTGCTGAATGGATTTTCGACGTCACCATTCCCTCATCATAATGGCTATCACGGATTTTAACAGACTATCGACGATGAAATCTTCTTCTGAAGAGTACTCTCAATTTTAGAAAAATTCTCTAATAATCTTTAAAAGATTCTAGCAATATTAAAGCGTGGTATAGATAAATGCAGATAAGGAAAATTAAATAAAAGCTGGAGAAGAGAGAAAGAGTTGAGGAAGAAGAAAATCTTCAGAAAATGTTGTTAATTCAACAATTTGGCATCCACCGTTTAAGGTGTGATCTGAAGAAATTTTATCAAGCAACCAGGAAGAATTACACCATTTTTCGGTTGGATATATAATCGCGTCGCTTTAGTAGCGAAGTTAAAATAGACCAACTGAAGCAGACCCCAAGAAGCAAAGGACGGATTAACGACTATGGACGTCGTTATGAATGACAACGAAGACCGAGAGGGTTCTCGCTGTGTCGTCAACTGACTAGTCTTACGAGACAAATGATTAAGATCTGTAAGAAGACGTTTGTACATAGTCCCTGTGTAAATAGTGTAGCAAAAACACGGCTTTTCCGGATATCCGCACGCGAATCCGCTTTCTTACGGTCTCCATTCTCGCGTATGAAGCGCGATCGTCGACGAAGAAAGCAGTACAAACGAAATCATGTGTACGCAATTATGGTGTCTCCGAAACCTATCCCGAGTGGCTCGATTTCGTTGGAACAATGTAAGCATCTCTTTATTTTCTCTGTTTTCGACTCCCACAACTGGTGGTAAAGGTATACGAAATGTTTAATTTGTAATAACCAGCTGAGAGTTGCACAGTTTTAATTAAAAATAATGTAAATCACGTGATATATACATTAGTTTAAAAAGTGTCGGCTTTCATATCATTTTCTTAGAATCTTAGAATACTTTTATGTAACTTGAAAATTTCGATAAAACTTAAAAAATTTTATCAAAAAATTCCATTTAACTTTTTCTTATAAATTCGCTTTACTTTAATCTGAGAAAAATTTTCGTAAAAAGGTATAATAAAAATTGCGCCATAAACGTAGCGCCATAAAATTGCGTTCATAAACGTTTATTTAAAGTTTGCGATTATGCGTATCGGAGTAACATAGATAGGTGATGGATATGCAAGAAATTATGATATCGCATGGTACCAGTACGTTATACATTTTTTTTTAATAAAAAATGTGACAGATTGTCATTTAATATAATACAATATTGCTTATATTATTAAAATAGATATTTATTATTAATATCTATTTTAATATTAATATATGTTTTCGATAAATATCTTGTATACATGGGCGTCTGCAGAGAGGGGTAAGAGGGGGCATTTGCACCCTTGGAATTAGTTCAAAAATTAAACATTTATTCTCTTTCAATAAACACTGGAATTTATTTGAATATTTAATACACTCCTCAAAATAATTAAGGGATAAAAAAATTGTCCAAAAAATAAGGAAATTTTAAATAGCTGTTATCACGAGGGTTATTAACAGTTTTACAGTAGAGTTAAAAATAAAATTAAATAAAATTAAGTAAAATTAAATAAAATTAAATAAAATCAGGTAATCGCACGCGCAATGCGCGCTTATGTTGTCTAGTTTAAACAAAAAGGAGAAAACTCGCGAAGGTCTTCGTTATTTTTACTTATCTATGACCTTTTGAAAGTAGAGATTTCAAGCTTTAAACCCTTTTTTAAAATTTTAATTATCATTTTTCGTAACAAAGTTATGATTATTTTAAAAAATGTCTATTTTTCGGACAATTTTTTATCCTTTATTTCAAGAAGTATATTTGAAAAATGAAAATAACAAACAAATTAAATTTAAAATAATTAAGAAAGAACAAAAAAATGTTAATCATGCCCCCTCTTAGAAAAAATTCTGCGGACTGTCCATGTTTGTATAGTAAAGAAACTATAAACATATTATAAATTTTTGTGCATATTTTCATTGGACAATTATAATAGAGTCGCAACATATATCAGGAAATTAATTGTTGTTAATTTATTGACTTATAAGACTACAAGATTGTTTTTGTCTTGGATACTGTTGGTTATTTTCTATCTATTTTCGCTTGACTGTGTCGAAATCAATTCTGCGAGGGGAAAAATAAGCTGCGGAAAATATCTCGTTCTCAAAGAATGAGAACTTCCTGCTATACGATGTGTAACCTTTGTATTCGTATAGTTACGATGAACCTTAAGCTGTATCGATTATCCGCGTATAATATTACAAACGACACAAAAATAAACTATAAATATTGTACCGTAAATGAAAAATAAACGTTAAATATTATCCTTCGAAACATGTGTTGACATATTCCTCTCTCCAATTTTAACATTAATCTCGTAATAGCATTTAATAGAAGAAATTAATTCTAAATTAATTAACTAATCACTTTTTAAATAATTCTCTTGTTAAAAAGGACTTAATCATATACATATACATATATATATATATATATTGAAAATCTCCCAGAGCCCTCACAAATTTTTTTTTATACTGTTGATCTAGAAGAATAGTTCTTATGCTTACATGTGGATCAAAAAGAGATTCAGAGTATGCGTGAATGCCGAGTATAATTTAAAAGGCCGGATTTTAGAAAGATATATTATCCTGCTAAAGAAAAGTTTATCTTAGGACTCCGATTGACCGAGGAGGACTCGCTGGTGCAGCCGTTTTTATACGGACCCATTCTCGTAATATTTCAAAAAAGAATCTTATTTACCTGCCTGAAAAGTGTAAGGTGTTTTCACGCGTTTGGGGAGCGACCAGGAGCATAAAGGTGTGAAAGAACATAAATGGTTCAAGTTTCCAAACGACAGTTCACGCTCACGATCCGGCAGCTGCCGTTCTTTCTATGCTGACAATGGGCAACGCAACTGTGTGGTCGAAGCCTTTTCTTTTTCTCAGTCTTTTCCGAGCGTAGCTTGGATCGAGTTTCGATGCGCATTGTGCATGCACAACAGTTACAGTTTATTTTAACTACCGGCGCGAAATAATTTTGCAGTTCTCAATGGTAATAAATTTCTTAGTCCTTTGATCAAGAATATAGGTATATATGTATTGTGTATATTTAAATACCAAGAAATATATAATATTATTCTCAAAATATCAAAATTGACAAAAGAATTAAATTAAATAACTCAAAGATATTTTTTAAGCGCATTTGGAAATTTATTTTAGCAACATTTTTTAAATATCAATTTTCATTTTTTGTATTAAAATTTTATAACTTTACGATAGTCTATCACCGTTATTCAGCGCGTATGTTTCACGATTTAATTCATATAATTTCAACGTTTGAAAACAATTTATACTCAATTCCTGAATTTAATCACAAAACCATTAAAAAATAAGCATTAAAAAATGTCTGAAAAATGTTTTTCGTCATCCTGTCAAAATCATCTTATATCCCGAAAGAGGTCGTGTCATTTTGACGGAGTATCTCAGCTAAAAGACGTAATGAATAGTTACACGTCACGGCGCGGCGGCATTGTTAATTCGGCCAGTGACTGGATAAAAAGGGTCGTAAACTATACAGTAGCCCGCGGTGAGTGATAACAAGATACCAGACCGCGAGAACAGTGATTAGGGACCCTCGTGCACGCCCCTCGGAACGACAAACTGACAATTTTCACCTCGTCGTTATCCTCTCGAGAAGCGCGTCCATTGTTTCTGATCCCAGAAGGATCATCTCAAGCGCCCTTTCGTCGAGCATGCGTGCTTCTGCGAGCAGGAAGCGTGAACAAGGATACGGGATTCCCGACACGGATAACTCCTGACACATCTCGGGATGCGCGCGGAGGTGACTACCTTCTCATTAAATCCATTATATCAAGTGAACGCCGATGAACTTGACCTGCGCCGGGCCGTCAGGCCGGTTTAGACAGATCGTTTAGGTGGAATCTAAATCATCTCTACCCTTCCCTTTTCTCGATTCCCGCTGCCCGAAAGCGAGCTCGACCGCGTCACCATTCCCGACCGACCTCTCACGACTTCATTAGTACCGACTTGCTTTGGAATGCGCGGGATTTCGGATATCAGGAATTAGGAAAGTATGCAGAGAACCTTCGATAATGTATATAGCATAATTGCTCTACAAAATATTCACGTCGCCAAAAAGGAAGATTGGATCAAATAAATGGGATATAATAAATTGTGTGGATTTCTCAATAATAAAACTAATAGATGGTAAAATTATATGTTTAACAAAAACAGGGTATTTGTCTTTGATATTATAAAAATGAAAACTGTATAATTATTAATTGTTTAAAAATGATAAATATCAATTCTTTAATTATAAATTCCAAAATTAATACTTTTATATAGCATAATTGCTCTACGAAATATTCACGTCGCCAAAAAGGAAGATTGGATCAAATAAATGGGATATAATAAATTGTGTGGATTTCTCAATAATAAAACTAATAGATGGTAAAATTATATGTTTAACAAAAACAGGATATTTGTCTTTGATATTATAAAAATGAAAACTGTATAATTATTAATTGTTTAAAAATGATAAATATCAATTCTTTAATTATAAATTCCAAAATTAATACTTTTGTATAGCATAATTGCTCTACGAAATATTCACGTCGCCAAAAAGAAAGATTGGATCAAATAAATGGGATATAATAAATTGTGTGGATTTCTCAATAATAAAACTAATAGATGGTAAAATTATATGTTTAACAAGAACAGGATATTTGTCTTTGATATTATAAAAATGAAAACTGTATAATTATTAATTGTTTAAAAATGATAAATATCAATTCTTTAATTATACCATAAATTCCAAAATTAATACTTTATTAATTTAAGAAATATCGAATACAATTTGTAATAGATCATTAATTGTTGAAGATTTTTTTATTGAAACATTTTTCATCTATTCTGTTTTTTAATTTATTATTCATATCACGTTAATCAACATTATCAGATTCTATTGCTATTCGTCACGAAAATCATCAATCTCCGCTGATATAAAATGGTCAATTTAATTATCGCTTACGCATTTCGTCAACTAAATAATGTCAGGCAAAAAGACCTACATTTCGTTAATTATTGACTGTAATTTGTTAATCAGCATTATGACATTATCTGATTATCTTTTACTATCATTCAATCGCCACAGGAATTGGAATGTATTAATAAAACAGCTATTAATTTGATTACAGATTACTCATTTAGTCAAATGTTCCTGACAATCAGATTCAATGACCGAACGCATTTGTACGTCTAATAAAATTAATATATTCCAAGATAAATTTTCATCCGACAAGGTATATACGACCGTTTACTGATCATTATAATTCGTATAAACTGTTACTCAATTATCTTTGAATTTTGAAAGTATCCGTACAATCAACTTCCTTCATATACATACAAATGTGCACACACAGATCATTAAATTAAATACAAGATACAAGTTATATATTTTATCAGTGTTTACTCAGCACTCAGCGTCGGTGTATTTTTTTTTTATTATTAAAAGGAGATGCCAAAACCGGCTTCTCATTAAATTGATTATATAAGGAAGAATAACTCATGTCACGAGTGGCAAAAGCGAGATCGTTTAGTGTGAGTGATTGTGAGAATCATTTCGAACTCTCATTCTCATCTTTCCCTCCCAACCGCGCGACTTCATTATTAATTTCGAATTTGTAAACTTATATAATTTTCATATTTTTCATATCTCAAAAATTGTTGTATCTTAATAGATTATAATTATGTAATTAATTACACTGAGAGAATTTTCTCTTAGAATTTATCATGGTAATCGTGGGACAATATGGTGTTGGAAGAATTTTATAAGAGTTCACCACAATAAGATATAAAATATGTTCGATTAATTTTACTATGCACATATTAATATTTTTATCGTGGTAAATATTAATCAGAAAAATTCTTCCAATATCGTATTGTCCCACAATTAACATGATTTAAATTCTAAGAGAAAATTCTCTCCGTGTATTATTTCAATATTCTAACTGATGCTTCAAAATGAAATGATATTTCTCATTTCTCTACCAAACTGTTAAAAAACTTGATCGAACTTTTGAACAAGTATATATACCAGCAATAAAAGCTACGGATTTGAGATTCTCCGACGAGATCAATGATAGAACTACACACCCGACTATAATACATATAGTATAGATGGATCGCTAGATCAATGTATCCATAGGTTCTCCTATGTT